TTTTCCAAGTTAAAATACTAAGCTTTAAGATGAGAATTTAGGATTATTTAGCATGAAAAATGAGAATTTGCGCAGAAGGAAAATTTGGATCAGATGGGCGGCGCTATCAGCGCGGAATAAATGCATTTTCAGTGAAAAATCCGCGCCATCAGCGCGGAAGAAGTATGACCGGCGCTGATAGCGTGGATTAATTCAAATTCAGTACAAAAAGGCGCCATCAGCGCCGGTTTTCGAGCAGGAAGACACCGTGTTTTGAACGCGTGCGTGCAAAATTAAAAAGGGGGATCAGAAGACAAAAATGATAGAGAGGGAGAGCTTGAAAAGAACTTCTGGAGCTTTTTGCGGAGATTGATCTTGGAGATTATTTTCTCTTCCTTTTGAATTCTTATTCTTCTTTTATGAATCATTGTAATTCAGCTATGACCATGTCTGGCTAGTTTCCTTCATTGTGGGTAGGGTCACAGTTGGTTAAAAAGCCAACTCTTAAAACCTATCACCCAATACTTAGGACAAAAAAAGGTAAAATAATATAGGATAATATATTTATGGGATTAAAGTGTCTGCTGTAACTTTAGATAAAAGTGCCTGCTGTGCAATTAAACAGTGTCGTTTTGGTCTTTTTTTAAAAGTCAAATTGCTTACTGTGCAACTCTTCCGTATTCATCTTGTTCGCATGCCAGTTTCTTTTTCCCTTAATGGCAGTGTGATATTAAGGGAAAAAGCGTTGGAAAGATCATTCAGTAATTTGACTATCTTTACTGACATATGAATTAATCGCATCGAGAGAATGACATGTTTTGGTCGGAGTGGGTGATCGCGGAACCCAATTAAAATGGCGACAATAACAAAAAAAAAATGGAATGCAATAAAGTTAATATTACATGATGCTAAATGCACGATTGAACAGTTAACTTATAGTCTATTCTATAGAATGCATAATATAAATAACTGGTGTAAACGAACGCCATAATATGACAATCGAAGAGTTAAAAAGATTCGCCCCATCTAAGAAGAGGGGGGAACAAGAGGTAGACTTCCGCAAAGATTTAAAATGGCATTACCTAATTGCAGTAGGGCATAAGCGAGTGCCTTCCTGGTTGATCTTTCCAACGCTTTTTCCCTTAATATCACACTGCCATTAAGGGAAAAAAGAAACTGGCATGCGAACGAGATGAATACAGAAGAGTTGCACAATAAGTAATTTGATTTTTAAAAAAAAGACCAAAACGACACCGTTTAACAGCACAGCAGGCACTCTTATGTAAAGTTACAGCAGAAACTTTAATCCCTATATTTATTGGGGAAAAAAGTATCTAATGTTACTTTAGACAACTTTGTCTAATGTTCATTGAAACGACGTAGTTTTATGGTTGAAAAATTAAAAAAATAGAATGATAAAGACTATTATAACCCTGAAATAAATTAAAATTACAAAAACACCATGATTTCCGCTCCAAAACGACGTCGTTTTGGTGAACATGACATAAAGTTATCTAAAGTAACTTTAGAAAAAATAAACCCATATTTATTATGTAGGAGGAAAATAAAAGAATTTCATGCACATACAACAATAGATGAAGAGCTCGTTAATTTTTGTTTCTCTCTCTTTGATTGCTATCTCTCTCTTTTGATTGCTGTCTATGCAGGAAAACTTTTTATTTTCCTGTTTAAATGACAAATATATTACCCAATAATATAACCTTCTCTCATACAATTGGCTTTATGTGTCGGAGAATCAACTTTGTACATAACAACCTTATCAGAATTTGAGTTATCAACACATTTTTGCTCCTGTCATCATTAATTTATTATGAATTGATAAAGGAAGAGGAGCTTCATTAACTAGCATGCATAAGTAAACTTAATATGTCAACCACGGGAATTAAAGAAACAAAATACAACTGCTAAAGAATTAAAAGAATGAGATATACGATGATCACTTTGAGTGAATTAAAATAATTAACAAGTTTATTTAAATATATGAAATGCACTAAATAAAGAAAGAATATGATAGGGATTTGATATTACATCTCAACCTAAAATTAAGGTATTTGATGTATCATATTTAATTTATTCCTTTGAAATGCAGATCGACCACACTTAAATTCCCAATAGTATTTAAGAGAAATCTTTGTCATCGACTATTGTTTTGTTCTTAAAACTATATATATAACTAGAGAAAAATGTGTGTCATTTTAAATGACATACCTTATGTCCTTTTATTTTATAAAGAGGTGTGACAATAGTTGTTAAAAAATCGATTTATCACTACGGTTTTACATTTTTACGATTTTTTTTCATCAAAACGATTTTATCAATATTTCAAACGTTTTTACGTTTTTATGATTTTTTATGATTTTTTTACATTACGATTTTTAAATTTTACGATTTTTTAATCTCTCTCCGATTTTGCTTAATTTTTTTTTTCTTCCATGATTTATCTTTTTTTTTTTACTTAAAATGACATAATTTTATGTCCTTTAAAATAGTAAATCTTCGCTTAATTAGGGTCAATTAAGAAAAGAATAGACAGAACATCAAACAAGTGATGTTGGCCATATCAAATACTCATCACATCTGAATGCATGTATAAAGAATTAATTCACGGGTTACACACAACATTTAGGCTAAAATTCGGAAATTAGAGCAGACACATAATGTTCAAGTGATGGTGGTTTGTTGTATAGGAGTTCATATGGTGGTTTGTTATTTAAAAGTGGTGTGCAGGTTCTGTTTATGATGTGTATGGCATGAGAAATTGCATAGGTCCATAGGCTAAGTGGTAATTTGGCTTGAAAGAAAAGAGAACGAGCTGCATTAAGGATATGTTGGTGTTTACGTTCTGCAACCCCATTTTGTTGGGGTGATTCAACACAAGAACGTTGATGTTCAATCCCTTTTGAGAGATAGAAATCAGTCATAAGGAATTCAGCTCCATTATCACTTCTGATGATTTTTATGGAGGATTTGAATTGATTTTCAACATAGGTAGTAAAGTGTTTTAAATTGTTTCGTGCCTCAGCTTTGTTCTTTAAAAGAATAGCCCATGTAAAACGTGTATAGTCATCTACAATTGTTAAGAAATATCGATGGCCATGTAAAGAAGTTGTGGAGAAGGGACCCCAAATGTCAGTATGTATTAATTGGAAAGGAAATGTAGTTTTGATTGTACTAGAAATGTAAGGTAATTTTCTTTGTTTTGAGAAATGACATATATCACAGGGATCTATTTTATTACATGAAATGAAAGGGAAGTAGATGGACATGGTCTTCATGACTGGTTCAGAAGGATGACCAAGTCTTTGGTGCCATATCAATGCATCATTGGAGTTCACTTTATTGCAGAAACTTTTCTTTACAGATCCTTCATGTGTCTTCAATATGTAGAGTCCATCTAATTGTTTAGCTGAACCAATCGTCTGGTTGGTTGATATCTGTTGGATGAAACAAGTTAAGTCATGAAAAAGAATGTAGGATTGGGTGTCTTGAAGAAGTTTGGTTACTGAAATCAAATTGACACGAAAGGATGGTACATAGAGAACATTTTTAAGAACTAAAGAATCAGAAATTCTTGCTGTGCCTGATTGTGTTGTGGTAATTTGAGTGCCATTTGGAAGTGTGATGTGTATGGGATTTATGGATTGGACACATGAAAGATTAGAGAAAATATATGTGATGTGATCTGTAGCTCCAGTGTCCAGAATCCAATGGTTTGATTTTATACCTGATACTGTGTTACCTATATTGAAAGCAGATGAGTGGGTTTGAATCATATTGGATGAGTGAGGCAGCTTTGATCTTTGTAGAAGTTCCAGAATTTCTTGATGTTGTTCTTTTGAAAAGGCAAGATTCAGAGATTCTGGTTCAGGTTCTGGATCAGTATTGTGTACACTATCATCAAATTCTAGTGAAACAAAGTTTGTAGCAGCAGCAGCAGCATATGGTCTTCTGGTTTGGTATCCTGGTGGAAATCCATGCTTGAGATAGCATGTCTCGATGGTATGGTTTGTTCTCTTGCAATATGTGCAAAACTTATTTCCACGACCTCTTCCTTGATTGAAACCTTGGCCTCTTCCTTGATTAAAACCTTGGCCTCTTCCTTGATTGAAACCTTGGTTGAAGTTCTGATTGAAATTTGGATGATATCGAGTCTGTCCTCTGTCTAGTTGTCCTCTGGAATTTTGTTGTTCAGCAATATTGATGAAAGATTGTGAATCTTGGACTCCTATTTTCAGGCGCCTTTCTTGCTGAAGAATCAATGAGAATACTTTGTTAACATGGAAGAGGGTCTAATAGCATTACTTGAGCTCTCACATGTTCAAATTGGTCATTTAACCCTTTCAAGAATCTTATTACATAGTCCCTTTCACGAGTATCCTTTACTTGTGTTGCTGCTCCACATGCGCAAGATGGTAAAATTGGCTGTAAGCTTTCTAATTCATCCCATAAAATCTTTAATTGGGTGAAGTAATCTGAAACACATTTGTCTCCTTGCTGCAATTTGAAAATTTCATCTTGAAGATCAGAAATTCTAAACATATCAGTTTGAGCAAACCTGTCTTTCAAGTTGTTCCATATATCATCTGCTTTCTCCATCCAAAGCACTGATTGTGCAATGGATTCTGAGATGGATCGATTGAGCCAAGAAATTATCATAGTGTTACACCTTTCCCATGAACCAAATAGAGGACTGTCATCATCTGGTTTCTTGATTGTTCCATTAACAAAACCAAGCTTGTTCTTGGATAGGAGTGCCATACGCATTGATCTTTTCCATGTGTGGAAGTTCTTTCCATTCATTGAAGGAGATACTAAGACCAGCGATGAGCTTTCATTGGGATGTAGGTAATAGGGATTGGATTCTGGTGCTGGTGTTGTATTCTGGTTTGGTACTGCTCTTTGAGTTGGTGCTGATGCTGCATCTTCCATTTTCTTGATTGATGAAAAGAAAACAGAAAATTTCGAAAGGAAGAAGAAGGAAAATCTTTTGAGAAGAATTGGGAACAAGAGAGGGTGAATACCAGAGCTCTAGATGAGCTCTGATACCATATTGAAAACTAGATAAAAGATGAAAAAGATTGAATGTATTGAATGAATTCTCAAGGTTACATTGCTGATATATATACAACAGCAATCAAACTAAAGCACGGAAGCAAAGACTCTTTAACTGTAAATAACAGAAATAACTAACATCTAACTAACAGACTTCTAACTAACTGAATTAATTACAAGCTACTGTATATATTAACAAAAAGAACAAGAAGTTAAACGACGTTGCGCCCGGCACATGGAGAGAAAATAAATAAGTGTATTGTATTGATTCAAATAAGGTTGCTGGAGCCTGGAGACAAATTAATACCCGTATTTAAATAAATAAGTGTATTGTATTGATTCAAATAAGGTTGCTGGAGACAAATTAATACCCCTACGTTGATAAAACTGTTGGTCATAGATGAGGCAAGAATCAATTATCCTGATCTGTAGGTAGAAGTCCCAAAAACTAGTTTTTATTACTAATATTTAGACAAAAGTGGGCTCGTTCAAACAAAATCAAAAGCATGCAATAATTGACGTGTGAAAGTTGAACAAGTGAGGATACAAATATGTGTTAGATTTTTTTTAATATTATTTTTGAAAGGGGATTAAAATCCTAATTCTAAATCCGTCTTGAACTCCAAATTAGTTGGGAACCTATAAGATTACCGGAGGATAATGTTAAAAAAAACAAAAATCAGAAACATGCAACTTTTTATTAAAAAAAAAAACAAGTGTTAAGATCGATCTCTTTTTTGATTAATTTGAAAAAATTAATAAAATAAAATGAAAGATAAAAGCATTCCACATAATAAAAATATTTTATTTAACATTTATTATAACTAAAGAATTTTTATTTATTACCAAAAAAAGAGAGAGCAAGTAATCTTGCCACGTCATATCCTTTGTAGGTTGTTCCTTTAGCCCATTTGATAATGGATCATGCTAGAATCCCAGAAAGTAGAAACAAGTGTTGGAGTCAATTCTTTGCCTCAGGTGCATGGAGTATGGTTACATTTGGTTTGGAATATCACTCTATTCAATAAAAATAAAAGGGTTTGATGAAATAGTCATGGACTATCATATATTCGTATTAACAAAATTACTCTTATTAAATAGCTTAAGGCAGGTATTCTTATACTAGAATAAAAAAAATTATACCTAATTTTAATTTAGCCATTGATTTGCTTTGTATATATGACTTACATATATAATAAATCAGAATCGTTAGATATAAATATGATCGACGATGCAAGATTGGAAATGTAACTGTCTAAAATGATTTTGATCCAATAGATAATTGATATTACAAAATAACCTTATTTTCTTTAACTTTTATTCCAGGCCGTTTGACGTGACATAATTACAGAAATTAGAATCCTAACATTTTCAATAATTTTCACAATAGAGAATGAAAAGACAATTATTAATTATATCAATTAAGGGTTTTATATTTCTCATTCAACATGAGAATTGAATTCTCATGTTGTAGAGACAAAAAACATGTGGGACCCGTATGTAAGAAAAAATTATGTGTAGGACCCACGTTGACACAGAAATCGAAGGGTGTGTAGGAAAATTCAAATTATCATGTTAAATGAGAATTATAAAACCCATCAATTAAATATATGTTATGCATCATCAATATTAGTTAAGTAATCTAGTCTAAACATTCATCATATATCATTTTATTTATGAGATTAATGTTTTTAATATTGTAAGAGATAATTTTATCTCATATATATATATATATAATATGTGAGGTTTATTTTATCTTTTTCTTTCACTTCTCTTCACCTGGACCTCATACACTTTTATGTATATAGAAGATAAAATTATCTCTTACAACATAAGAAACAATTATCACATTCTCTTCACATTTATTTTATCTTTTTCTTTCACTTCTCTTCACATGGACCTCATACACTTTTATGTATATAGAAGATAAAATTATCTTAATATTATCTTTTTAAGGGCTGTAAATACAAATGTTAACATGTAAGTTCATTCGATGCCTATAACCTGTTTTAGATAACTCATCATTAGGGGTTTGAGGGTTTCGTATATATAATAGACCAATTCCCAATACCAAATAATTTCCTTGCTAAACTTTGACCCCATAATAAATTTATGGCAAGCAAGGACCCTTTAGATTTCATTTCATCTACTTATCCTAATAAGAAATATTGGAAATTAGGTATAGCAGATGAGAAAAAAAGGTGACCCACACAATTGACGGAGAGACAACTATTTGATCTTGTGTATAACAACCCTAAATATTGTATCATGATTAATGAAGAATTATGATAATTAATAAACGGGACATTTCAGATGAAATAGTTTATGATTAAGTAAATTAGAAGTATGGGTCCAATGGACCAAAGACATAAGCATTAGGGATCCAATGAATTCATGGATCAAAGTATAACCCAACAAAGGAAGTTTTAATTCCATTTAATGTGGACAAGTCCAAGTGATACAAAGAAAGCTCTATATGATAAAGTAAAGTCCAATAAGGTAAATGAAACCCAAATCAAGTTAAAGCCCAAAGTAAGGCCATGACATAATAAACCTAAAGAAGTACTATATGACTAGGAATTAAATTAGAATTCTTTCCCTACAAGCAAGAAGCCCACGGTTTTACTAGAGAAAACAAGCTCTAAGAAGTCAATTTAAAGTGTCATAAAATCATGGAAGAATAGGCACAAATTAGGTCAGGTTAATAGGTTAAAGGTCCATAATCTTAAGGAATAAATCATGGTCCAAAATTAAAGGAAATCTTTTCCTTCCAAGCATTTAAAATCCGCGGCCTAGGTGTAGGAAATGAATTTGATTTTATTTGATTTTCAAGCCATTAAATGCAAATCGAATTTCCTTAAGTCAAGCCAGTCAAATTCCTTTAAACAAGGAAGTTAGGATTATGATGATTAGTAGTCAATCACTTTCCCTAAATCAAGCAAATTGATGACAATATGTCAATCAATCAAATAATTCTGTTTCTTAAATCAAGGAAGCAACTTTTAATGACGATTAGTCACACATCATCAATTCCTTAAATCAAGCAATCACTAAATTTCCTTAATCAAGGAAATTGACATCATGTTCTTGTCCCTAAATTAAGCAATCTAACCTATGACAACAAATCACCACCTTACTCTCATTTAATGTGATCGAAACCTACCAGCAATCAAGTAATGGCAAGGCTTCTAGGTTGCCTATTTGAACAAGCTTTAGTCTCTCCTTTTTCCCTCTATAGCCGCGGCACTACCAAAGGAAAGAACAAAGAGTTTAGTTCATTTTGTGAAGTCCATGAATGCTTCGAAATGGTGAGTGTGTTAGTGAGAAATACCTAATTGTTCCAAGATCAAATACAAGCCTGGATCTTAGTCCTTCTTCCTAATAATTCCACCAAAGAACCCTTCATCTCTAAGCAAGAAAATCCCTCTTCTCCTCTCTTTAAGCTTGCGGCCTTGTATGTTCAAGGAGGAAGGAAGTTCATTCAAGAAGATTCAAAGTAGTCAAAGGTCAAGAAGTGTTTCCTTAAGTCGTTGATCATCATCAAAGGTAAGCCTATGAACCTTCTTGGTTAGGAATGACATGTAAAAGCATGAAAGTGATATCCTAAGTATATGATCCCTAGAAGGCCGAACCATGTATGATAATTATAAGCATGAAGAGATGTTTAAATGATATGAAAGATGATGAAATGATGATGTTAGATTAGCATGTTTAGTAGCCTAGGTTCTAAATCAATTTTGCATGATCATAACCTTAGTTGGCCGAATATATAAGATGATGTTTTGAATGATGCTCTAGGATTTAAATATGATAAATTATCAATAATGTTAGAAGCATGTTTTAGAAGTAATCCCTTAGGTATTTTAGGGCAATAAGGCCGAATGGTATGTAGCTAAAAGAGGTTTTATTTGATTAATGTTGAAAGGATCTAACCATGTTAAGTTAATAATATAATTGAAAGCATGTTTTAAAAATTATATTCCTAGATGTTTATCTATGGTGGCCGAACCTATACATGCCTAGAATGAAATCTTTAATAATTCTATTAAGTGTTATGATGACCTAATAATGTCCTAAAACCTACACAAGTGGGTAAGTAAGCAAAACAACTCCTCTAGGTAATTAAACATGCAAAGCCGAGACCTATACATGGATAAAACACAAATGTTGAATGTTATATAAGTTACTAAAAGATGATATGATGATGTTAGGGAGTCAAGGGAGCAAACAGGCAAGTAAAGAGATCAAAAGTTGAAAGTATACAAGTAAAGAACGACAAGCACTGTAAGTGTTTACAGTTGTTGAAGTAATCTCTCTATGTATGCCACCATTATGAAATTATGATAAGTTATGGTCTGACTGCAATATGTTTATAGTGCTTTACATTATGTGATTATGATATTTTTGAAACTTAAAACCATGCTATTAAATGTTGGCCTGTGCACTGATACTCCAGTTGCAACCTGACGAGGACTCTGGGTATCTCAGTAAGTCCGTAAAAGCCGGCAGGAATATGATGATGATGATGATGGCATGATATTTTTATATGATGATGTTAAATGTTCCATTTTGTATTGTTATTATAAACTGTTGCAGGAGTAAGCGTCATAGTTGGAGAATGCTCCAGCTGTGAACCTTACTGAGATTTTCCCCAAAATCTCACCCCCCTTGACCACCCATTTCAGGAAAAGATGAAAGAAAGTAATAAGAAAGTTATGTGGGAAAGAAAGGGTAAGAGACTGGTACGTAAAGAAGAAGAAACTCCACCTACCTGGGAAGAGAAACTAAAGGATCTAACAGATAGAGGCCTATGGACTGAGGCTATGAAATTATTAATAGAAGCTTTTCCACATTATGATTTCGATGAAGCACTAAGT